GGTCGCCGGGATTAAATAGGGCGCTCGGAGCAAACCATTCGGCTGGATGTGGAGGGGGGGTGACAGGGGGCTGGGCTGGTCGCGGGGGGGCCAAGCTGCCGCATTCCCCTCTCCCCCCGCCTCCCACACCCCCTCGTGCCTCAGTGGTGCCTTCCACCCGCTCCCCCGGGAGCTCCGCCAGCCCGGCTCGGGTGTGGAGCAGAGGGAGGGAGCTGGCTCAGCAGTGGGACCCCGCGCGCACCCCTCTTAGGCTCGGGGTGGAGGGAGGGGAGTCGGGCAGGGCCTTGGGCCAGCTGGCGAGAGCGGCCACTGCAGGCCTGGGCAAGGGCGTGCCCACTAGCCTGAGCTCCTCCAGTCCCGCCCTCCAGCCCCTGGAAACTGGGGATCCCCATAAACCCTGGGGTCCCCCTATCAGTGTTATGGCCAGGGGTGACTCCTCAGTGGATAGGTACCCTTACCATTCTCCTATATGCCAACGTCTCTAGTTCCTCTTACCGGAGTCCTTAGTTATGTGTCCAGCGACAATTTGTGGCCCCAGGCAATCTCCCCTGAAAAGCATCTTTCGGCAAACCCCCAGACCATGGGAGCCAATATCTCCCTCAATTTCTTGTCAAAGAATTACTCACCCTCCCTCCGAAAGCCAGATTTCACCTCAGAGTCTTACCCAAGCCTTCTTAAAAATTGAGTAATTTTCTTTCTGACTCCTCCCTATTCTATCCGTTAATCGACCCCTCCTTTTTCTATCCGTTAATCGCCCCCCCTCCCTCACCCCCCCTCCCTTCCAAGCCATGTCGTTACTTGACTTCTTTCTTAATCTTTCAGAGGACCTTGTCCTTCCTTCGCAAGTCTCAGTAAGATTCCTGGGTGAATGGTCTGACTCACAGACCCTCTTAAGGACCAATGCACCTGTGACTAACACAGCCCTTGTCCCCAAGGCCACATATAAGATGGATGAGAGAGGCCTGGTGTTTGCATTTGCTCTTGGCTCAAGAGTTCCAAGTCCCTGGTGTTTGCTGTTCTTCGTGATTGAGTATCTCTGGAAGAGTTTTGGTACAACTCAGAATTTTTCTGAGTCAATTTTGCTGAAACCCAGCTTTTGGAAATAGATTTTTAAGCGGTGGAATCCTAGAGTCAAAAAATGTTTATATATAGTCTTTGAACATATCGGAACTAATTCCTTAGTTACACAGGTACAACTGAGTCCCAAAGGAAGTCAATTAGATTACCCAAGATTATACTGACAGTTAAGCTTAGAAAACACAAGTGTTGGCTAAGATATGGAACAATATAAATCTAGAATGTCTTCCAGTCCTGTGAGGCGAATACTATGTTGATCATTGTTGGTTGTCTGTCGGCTCATCATGACATATCTCAGTGACTTCAAACCATCTTGCCTTCCTGGGTTCTCAGACGCCTTGAAGTTTCTGGTAAGTAAAGATGGAGGGAGGAGTGCAGTTGAAAGAGGTGGATACCTGGATATAAAAGAGAGATGACACTGGACTAGGAAGTAGGGGAACAGAGAGCAAAGAAGAGGATTGACTTTCTGACCAAGGGGAGATGAGGGAGACAGGATGTTAGTTATGCAGATGGAAGGAGAGGGGGTTTCGAATCAGCTGCAGAGGGGGAAAGATCAGGCTATCCTAGTTAAAGGGTCTTGGTAGATAAAGAGCATTATCTCGAGCTAGAAGGAACCTAAGAGATTACCTAAGTGGGCTTAAGAGAGGGCAGGTTAATGGAGGGGGAAAGAAGAGGAGTGAGAGTACAGATGGGGGTGGGGTGCGGAGGCCAGAATGTGGGATTATGTCCCTGATTCCTCTAATTAATCATCTTTTCCATCTGCTGCTCTGCAGTGATCCCCTTCTGCCAGTCCTCCCTTAATTCTCTAATGATTGCCGACCTGGCCCCGCCCTCTACTGTCACTGCACGAGATGGGAACCAAAGGTGGGAGGAAAAGAGAAAAACTGTTTTGGAGAGAGTATTAAGAACCAGCAAATGAGACTGGAATGCTCTTTTCCTACTGGCTCCTCTTCCCTTTTCTGCATCATCAGCATCAGTTTGGCAGCAGTTTAGGCCCTGGGAATAGGAAGCAGTCATTGGCTTTTAGAATTATAGAATAAAAAAGTATTAGAGTTGTAAGGGACCTTCAAGATGATCTCATTAGTGCCTCTTGTTGAACAGATGAGGACAATGAAACTCAGAGAAGCTCAGTAAGTGACTTTCTCTGTCCCTTCAGCTAGCTGGAAAAGGGGTGCCAGGATTAAATGGCAGGGTGCAGATAGCACCCTTGAGAGCAAGAAAGATAAGGACAGTTGTTCCCAGTGTCCGAGGGCAGTATTCACTTTGAGGAATTCCTCACCCCCACACGTCTAGGGGTGCAGAGGTAGCTTATCCTACCATCCTGCAGAGGTCCGCATTTGGGAATAAGCATGCTGATGTTCTTTTTCTATGTGCACTCGGCATCCAGTGGGCACCCTGTACACTTAGAAATAGGGTTTTGCAAAGAAAGATTTACCTACAAAGATTATCCCCATTCGGAAAATGGGTAAACTAAAAGATATCCATGTTGGATTGTGATCTCGATGGTTACTTCCCACTCTAGAGTGCTATGATATGCCGTGTCTGTTTCCCAGAGACGTGTCCAAAGTCTGGAGTAGGTTGTCTGTGGGATTACTGAGCTGATGGCTACAGGGAACATGGGGTGGGGGTGGGAAGGGGAGTGGAGAGAAGGCGGGCACTGCCTCCTGGATGCCCCTGTGCACTCAGCAACAGCCTGGGTAGCTGGGGGTGTGGAATGTGGTGCTGGCACTGATGCTGGGCTGGACGCAGCTGTGTGGGCTCTGGACATTCCTTTCCCCACGCTGAGGCCGGAGGGGAGAGGGAAGGAACTCAGCCTGAGTGGGGTGAACTTGATGTATTCATCCGGGAGAGGATGACAGCACCTGTTGGGGGGAAAACTCAGGAGAGGACTCCGTCTCCATTCCCATTCTGCTCTGCACTCTAACCCTTCTCCTCCGCGTGACTTTATTATTATTATTTTTTTATATCAGTAAATTCTGCAAAGCTTCCCACATTGCTTTCCTCTTCAATTTTCCACCCAACTAAACCAGTACTCCTCCTACTGCTTTTTACTTCTATTATCCAATTTTAATTAACCCCATCCTCAATAATAACCTCTGTATGCATTTTAATTCGAACCTTAATTGAATTCTAAGTTCCATCCTAACCCTAATCTATTACAGACTCCAACTACTAATCCTCATACAACCCCAATTTAATTGCCAATTTTAACCAGCATCTTAATTCTGACTAGTTTAAAGCCAGAGACTAGGAGAGCAACTTGCACGTACTAAAAACGATCGCAGGTGCCCTTTGCTGAGAGCCGGTCATGTGCCAGCCAGACTCTGCTCGGTACTTTACGTGCACAGCGTCTCATCAAAGTACCCAAAAGTACCCTAATGTGCTTGAGATTATTAGCTCCCTTATAATAAGAGGAAAAAAAAGGTTTAACAAGATTATGTAATTTGTAAATAGTGGATCTAAGTCCAGGTCTGCTTGACCTGAAAGCTGTGCTCATTCTTCTTTGTGCCAACAAATACCTTTTGATTGACCTCCTCGCATTCGAACTCAGACGGGCTGAAATGACTTCTAAACTGCCGAATGTCTTGAAAGCATGTTATTATTCGATGTCTATATTTTAATAAACAGTGGTACAACATAAAAACCAACCAAACAAAAAGGCTTAAAAATCTCCCTGCCCAGAGACCCCATTGACACTTTAAAACATTAAAGCAATTTACTTAGAATATGGAAATATTCAACT